TGGAGCTGGGCAAAATCCAGCAGGAGGTTCTTAAGCAGGATCCACAGACTGGGACTGACCCTCCATCCTGTGGGACTTTGCCTCTGGGATGTTTGCTCTGCATTTCTTGAAACCATTATTATCTATCTTATTTTTTCCCCACTCCTTTGGTTCTTCTCTTTTCTCCTCATGGCAGCATCCTCCGCTTAATCCGTGGTCCGCCATCCCCAGCAGAATTGGTCAGATATTGCCCGTGTCACGGTCCTGACCGTCTCCACTATGGGCTGTCCTTGTGAGCCCGTGCTCCTCTGGGACCGTCTTCACTGACCTGACCTCTCTCAGTCTTGATTGCTTTCAGCTGACCTGGCTGGGTTAGGAGAAAACCTGACTATGGAGTCCCAGAGCCATTCTCTGCCCTCTCTATCTCCAGGAGAGGAAGAAAATCACAGGGATCTCCATGGAGAAATGACCCACGTGAGGGCCTGGACTCTCCAGCAGTCACAGCAGAGGAAACTCCCTGAGGAAGAATGGAGGATCTGAACGTCCAGACTGGGAAAGCAGGGTTGTGTTAAGGACTATTTAATTCTCATGAGCTCCCTGCCCCAATGTATAAGCCAGCGAATGACAACAGACTGAGAATAAGTTGTAGGACTATAGGACCATGATGAAGAATTGTCCAAGGAAGCACCCCTTTACTCTGTTTGCAAGGTGAAATTGCTGTGGATCCAAAGTTTTCTGAAAGGCAGCAGTGAGTTTCTGGAGGGTGAGTTACCTGCTTTGCACAGGGAGGCTGAGACCAAGGCTTGCATGGTGTATCTGCTGTCACCAGGTGGTCAGGGAGCCTGGGAGAGTCTTAGTCTTTCTGGGCTTCAGTTTTCTCATCAGTAAAGTAGAGGCTTATTGTACCTCTCTGAAGTCCCTTCCTGCTCAGTTTCCTCTGAGTCCTTGAGGGACTAAGATGGTTTTTTACACTGCCTGGACCTGTAACCTGCACTGACCTCTCTGGATCTGACTCCTGACTGGCCCCTGTGTGGCTCCTGCAGAGCCTGAGCTGAATCCACATGCTGGAAACCCAGAACCGAGGGAACAGATGAAAGAAAGAAAAGTCAGCAGGTTTTGGAAAAGAGAATAACCTGCAAAGGACAAGTCAATGCTAGAACAGGTGAAAACCAAAGAAGGGAGAATAAGGACAAACTGGGCCAGGAGCCTCAGGGAAACGGGCAATGGGCCTATGATCATTCCACCACTCGAGGAGCAGCGCAAGCTGAGCAGTGGGGACCGAGAAACTTACTCCACAGGAGTCTCCTGACCCTGGCCAGGGAGAGCCAAAGGGGGGATCAGAGCTGGTTTATAGTGAGGGGCAGCACCAAATCCAAGACGGGGAGGATGCGACCGTGAGCCCCCACACCAGACTCCGGAGCCTCGACCTGGGGGCTGCCGTAGCTGTGGATGCTCTTCAGGTCAGTGTGGATTAGAGGGAATAACCGTGCTTGGAGAAGGGTTAGAGATGTCCGTTCTTACATTAAACAGCCCTGCCCTATGTCAGGTGCCAGAGTAAGTGATTCTTGCCAGTATATGAGGCAGTGCTACTTACACTATTCCTCTGCACTTTCAGTTGAGGAAGGTCTCTATGTGATGGGTATTTACTGGGTGTTTAATTTTCTCTACACTGTGGTAAGCATTTGGGGTTCACATAGTAGTTTCCTCAAGGAACTCAAGCCCATGAGAGAAAGAACACAGAGACCTGATTTCAAGAAAATAGAGTAGTTCTCCAAAAGTGGAGAGGAGAGGAGAGCCCAGAGGAGGGGAATGTAGGTGAAGACATTGCTCCTAAGGACAAGGGGAACCATAAGAGGGATTCTTCAGAGCAGTCCTGTTTTTCCTCCAGTGTCCCGCAGAAGAAGATCCTGGGGCATGACTGGTGTAGAGCATGGGTCTACAGGTGTAGGAGGGGCACTTGCTGCATCTTGGGAGAAATTATAGCCTCCCTGGTAGGACATTTTGGAGAGGAATGTCAGTGATTGGATGGGATATCTGTGGTCAGTTTTATTCTGTCTTGAGTGA